GAGGAAGAGAAGGAGTTAGGAGATGATGTCACAGAGTTAACAGAATGAAAGCTCACATAGGATGTTAAAGGCCATTGTAAGGACTTTTGACTTTTGCTAGGAGAGATGGGAAGCCATTTGAGGGTTTGTTCTTTTTTTATTTCAGCATATTATGGGGGTACAGATGTTTAGGTTACGTATGTTGCCCTTGCTCCCCCCCCAAGTCCGAGTTTCAAGCGTGTCCATCCCTTGGATGGTGTGCATTGTACTCTTTGTGTATGCAAATACCCGTCCCCTCCTCCCTTTCCCCCCTCCCCCCTGCCCGACATCCAGTAGATGTTATTCTTATATGTGCACTTATGTGTTGATCAGTTAATACCAATTTGATGGTGAGTACATGTGGTGCTTGTCTTTCCATTCTTGGGATACTTCACTTAGTAGAATGCGTTCCAACTCTATCCAGGAGTATACAAGAGGTGCTATATCACCATTGTTTCTTAAAGCTGAATAGTACTCCATGGTATACATATACCACATTTTATTAATCCACTCATGTATTGATGGACACTTGGGTTGTTTCCACATCTTTGCAATTGTGAATCATGTTGGGATAAATATACAAATGCATGTAACTTTTTGATATAATGACTTCTTTTCCTTTGGGTACATACCCAGTAGTGGGATTGCTGGATTGAATGGTAGGTCTACTTTTAATGCTTTGAGAAATCTCCGTGCTATTTTCATAGGAATTGTACTACTTTACATTCCCACCAACAGTGTATAAATGTTCTCTTTTTACCATATCTGCCCTGCCAGCATCTATGCTGTCAGTGGCCCTGTGCTGGAAATCTGGCTTCTACCTTTACCCTTGGTGTCTCCCCATCACCTCTTTGTTACTGTCAAATGTTTTTTCTCCAGTGTTGTATTCAAAATATGCATATTTTATGATTGTTCTCTGATAAAGAGACTAACACCAGCTGCCTATAGTCAGCCATCTTGGAAACTCTTTTCCTTAGCTTTTATTCCTCAGCAATGAAAAACAAAAAGAGTAATAAAATGTATTGGCAGGTCAAATTTTGTTTAAAATAGGTGTAATAAAGTTGACCAAGTTACATACTTTAAGTCTACGTGGAGTTAGCAGCCATTTCCTATGATATTATCTTTTGCATTTTGTAGGTGACTCAAGAGTAAAAGGATCTAAAGTGATACCAGACAACAAAATACATCACAAATTAGGTAATATTATTTTTCTCTTTTAACATTTCCAGTGAGGATAATGCTATAATTAAATCTCTGTTTCTAAATATAACTTAATTTTTTTAAGTGGGGGACATACTATTATTTGAATTAGTGGCTAAATTAAAATTATGCACTTAGTTTTCATGAATTTCACAGTAAATCATCACAAGCCACTGACTTAGTCTTTTGTCCATTTATAAATCCTGTAGCCCTCTCACCCTTTTGCCCCATAGTGGGGAATATGATCCCACCGAATCTAAGAAACTAGGGTGGAAAATTTTGTTAAAGAAAATACAACTGCTGGGTAGATGGCATCCCTGATAGCTTCTCCTTCCACTCACATCCAGTTAACTCCTAAACAAAGCAGTAGCTAGAATGGTAAATAAGCAAAGCTGGGACCTGTGGAACCTGTGGAGAGGCCCATGTGAGGATTAAAAATCCATGGTTCACAAAGAGATATTTGCCAGTCAAGATTCATAGGAGCTCCCACCTTTGTGTGATGTTGGAGGGGCTGTCTGTGTTCTTCCCTATACTTGAGGCTGTGACTGCTTTTGCACTTGTACCTAAAGAGAACCAGTAGGAGTGAAGCTTTCTCATTGTTTCATCCAAGAATTTACATTTTGTCAGTTAGCATTTCATGGGCCCATATGAAGAAAGACTGCTATACCGCTCAATACTTAATGCTTGTCCTGGAGTGATGATGAGTGGAGTCAGGAGTAGACAAAGGGAAATAAAATGTCCCCGAGCAAGACTTCCAGTATTCACAGAGAGGAAAATCAAGCATTATGCCTAAGAGTAGTAGGCAACTTCTGGTTGCCTTTTGGACAGCTTCTGGACAGCTCTAACAAACAAAAAATAGGTAAGAATATAGGAATTTGATAATATACAAATTCAGTCAAGTATATATTAGGCCATTAAATATGAAATGTCCGATTTCAAATCAATAGTTCACTGTATCTCAAACAAGAAGCAGAGTATGTGCCTAAACTGTTGACATGGTTTTGCCATCTTAACGGTAGCTTGCTCATGCCAGCAGCAAAGAAGCCTGAAGAGTGAGTGGCAATGAAATCGTGAGAGATGTTTTCCACAGCTTGTTGAGAACTGAATATTTTTCCTTGCAAGTAGTCCAAAGCCTGGAAGAAGTGGTAGTCGGTTGGTGCAAGTTCTGGTGGATACAGTGGATCATCATCCAAAGTCCAGTTTCTGTAGTTTGAGCAGCATTGTTTTTTGAGACATGTGGTCTTGCAAGAGGATTGGCCTGTCTCTGTTGACCAATCTCGGTTGCTTAATCACAAGCATCCTCATCATTTCATCCAATTGGTTGCAGTAGACATCCGCTGTAATCGATTGACAAGGTTTCATGAAGCTGTAGTGGGTAATACCAGCGCTGGACCACCAAACAGACACCATTAGCTTTTTTTTTTGATGAATATTCAGTTTTGGACTGTGTCTGGGCACTTCATCTTTATCTAGCCATTGTGCTGAACGCTTGCAGTTGTTAAAAAGAATCGATTTTTCATCACACTTAACAATATGGTATAGAAATGGTTTGCCTCTGTGTCATGACAGCAAAGAAAGGCAAACTTCAAGATGATTTCTCTTCTGACGCTCATTTCATTCATGTGGAACCCATCTATCCAGCTTGTTTACCTTGTTGATTTGTTTCAAATAGTCCAGTGTTGTGAGAATAGTAATGTAAAACCTTGCTGCTAATTCACACATAGGTTGAGATAGATTTGCTTCCTCTACAGCATTCATGTCATCATTATCCACCTTGGTCTTAGGTCACCCACATGGCTCACTTTCAAGATTAAAATCACCAGAACAGAACTTCTCAAACCATCGACATACTGTGTATTCATTAGCCACATCCTTCCCGAACACTTGTTGGTATATCAAGCTGTCTGCACTGCATTGGTTCCACAATGGAACTCATATCCAAAAATAACAAATTTTTGAGTTATTCATGGTTTCACAAAAATTGCTCTAAAAAAATTTGACAATCACAAGCCGAAACATGTGTTTGAAAGAATGAGGATGTACCTTCACAATAACAGAAAAAAAACCAAGAAGTGTCAAAGTGAAATGTCAGAGATATCAACTGTCAAACTTAGTACTTAAGGAAATCGGACATTCCATACTTAATAACCTACAGAACTTTGCATTGTTCAGGTAAGATGAGTGTACCTTAAACATTTTCAACCCTGGGCATTATCAAATTTTTAAATCTTTGCCAGTCTGGTAGCCAGTTTTTTCATTGGCATTTCTTCAATTATTAGAACAAATATATCTTTTTTTTTGGTCTTGTCTAGAAAAACATTCATGTTCTAAAAAAACCATTTATATTCTAAAAGGTAATATGAATCTACTGCTAAGTATTAGCAACTGAACATTCACATGCATACATTTTTGTCTGACATCTTTTTATAGTATTGCCCTCCAACACACCAAATGTTCGCAGGACCAAGAGAATACGTTTGAAACCTTTGGAATACTGGCGAGGCGAGCGAATAGATTATCAGGGAAGGCCATCAGGTAAAACCTAATTTATGCTATAATGTTTGTCTGCAAAAAGTTTATGTGTACTGTGTTCCAGGCACTGTGTTACATATTTACATACATTACCTCATTTAATTATCACCTCCCCCGCCACCCCCGTGCGTATGATAAGAGTAGGATTCAAATCAGATTTGTCTGATTAGAGATGCTGATATTTTTTTTCTCTTTGGTAGCTGTTCGTGTGGCTTTATAAATGTTGTTATTCTATATTATCTGACAAGGTTTCTAATTTCATAAAGCATTAGAATGGGAAAGTAGTTCCCATTGTTATGCTTCTCAACCATTTTCATTGTCTCATATTCTTCTACGAAATGGTTTATGGTAAGCAACAAAATACAGTGTTATCTTAAAGTTATTTCCTTTCATTGATGGAAATCAAGTAAGTCAAAGGACTAAACTTACATGTGGATTTCAATAAATAGTTCATTGCTAGCCTTTTTGGTTGTTTTTGTTTTAACATTCACTGATGACTGATTTCAAGTAAGCAACAGAGATCATTGAATCATGTTTCATCAGTGTTTCTAGATTTAGTGTGGTAGAGACATAAGTGAAATTCGTTGGTATTTGTGTTATTTGAACTGTTAGCTATGATACATTCTTTGGTATTAAGCCAATGTGCTGTATTAATTTAAAGAGTTTTGCTTCAAGGTTTACTTCTTACTGTGTATATTTTGCATTTTTTGTTATTATATTTCAGGAGGATTTGTGATTGGTGGAGTACTATCCCCAGACCCAATGTCGTCTAAAAGGAAGGCAAAAGGAAACGTGGAAAAAGTCAGCAAAATAGCTAAGCAGAAAAGGATCTGTCTTGATAACGATGAAAGAA